TCACTTCTGAGAACATTTAAAGGTACTTTTAATAGAAAACGTGAATGACTATAAAGTGAAGGAAATAAGTATTTGATCCCCTGCTGATTTTGAATGCCCACTCACAAAGAAATTATCAGTCTAAAAATCGAATGGTAGGTGTATTGTAATACTGAGAGATAGAATAGCAACAAAAAATTCAAAAGAAATGCATGTCTAACAAATTATACAGTGATTTGCATGTTCATGAGGGGAATATGTATTTGATCCCCTATCATTCAGCAGGATTTCTGCTTACCTGGTGTCTTTCATACAGGTAACAAGCTGAGATTAGAAGCAGTCTCTTAAAGGGAGTGCTGCTAATCTCATTTTGTTACCTCTATAAAAGGCACCTGTCCACAGGAGCAATCAAACAATCAGATTCCAAACTCTCCACCATGGCAAAGACCAAAGAGCTGTCCAACGATGTCAGGGACAAGATTGTAGACCTACACAAAGTTGTACTGGGCTACAAAACTATTGCCAAACAGCTTGGTGAGAAGGTGACAACAGTTGGTGCAATCATTTGCAAGTGGAAGAAACACAAAACTGTCAGTCTCCCTAGGTCTAGTGCACCATGCAAGATCTCACCTCGTGGAGTGTCAATGATCATGAGAACAGTAAGGAATCACATCCCAGAACTACACGTGAGGATCTTGTCAATAATCTCCAGGCAGCTGGGACTACAGTCACCAAGAAAACAATTGGTAATACTCTACGCCGACAAGGTTTGAAATCCTGCAGTGCCCACAAGGTCCCTCTGCTCAAGAAAGTACATGTCCAGGCCCGTCTGAAGTATGCCACTGAACATCTGAATGATGCAGAGGAGGACTGGTTGAAAATGTTGTGGTCAGATGAGCCCAAAATCGAGCTGTTTGGCATCAACTCAACACGCCGTGTTTGGAGGAGGAGGAATGCTGCCTATGACCCCAAAAACACCATCCCAACTGTCAAACATGGTGGTGGAAACATTCTGCTTTGGGGGTGTTTTTCTGCTAAGGGGACAGGACAACTGTACCTCATGAAAGGGACGATGGATAAAGCAATGTACTGTCAAATCTTGGGTGAAAACCTTCTTCCCTCAGCCAGGGCATTTAAAATGGGTCGTGGATGAGTGTTCCAGCATGACAATGACCCAAAACACACTGCCAAGGCAACAAAGGAGTGGCTCAAGAAGAAGTACATTAAGGTCCTGGAGTGGCCTAACCAGTCTCCAGACCTTAATCCGATTGAAAATCTGTAGAGGGAGCTGAAAGTTTGAGTTGCCAAATGTCAGCCACCAAACCTTAATGACTTGGAAAGGATCTGCCAAGAGGAGTGGGCCAAAATCCCTCCTGAGATGTGTGCAAACCTGGTGGCCAACTACAGGAAACGTCTGACCGCTGTGATTGCCAACAAGGGATTTGTCACCAAGTACTAAGTCATGTTTTGTGAAGGAGATCAAATACTTATTTCCCTCATGAACATGCAAATCAGTGCAGAATTTGTTAGACATGCATTTCTTTTGAATTTTTTGTTGCTATTCTGTCTCTGTGTTACAATACACCTACCATTCGATTTTTAGACTGATCAATTCTTTGTGAGTGGGCAAACATTCAAAATCAGCAGGGGATCAAATACTTATTTCCTTCACTGTATCTGTGCTATGAAAAACCACAAAAGATATTGAATTACAGCTGCCCAAACACTGTGCTTATATCCAGGACAGGGTATAAGTAAAACTATAAAGAGTATGTGTTGTGTGATACTATGTTATGTGTACAACAATACACCTTCCTCTTATGAATATACACAACTAAAAAACATATTTATCTCCATATACACGTGCAATAACACATATTAACCTAAAAACAAAAGAACTAAACCATGTACTACAAAACACCTCCCTCCTCATAAATTAGCAGTATGCTGCTTTAAACTAAATAAAGTGAAAATACATATGCAATCAGTATTAGTAAAGTGCAAGACCCATACCTGATTACATTTCTACGATGCAGCGCATTGGGCGGAGCGTCTTACCTCACTTCCACTCTTGCACTTCTGGCCAAGTGTAAAGTTTGGTGGAGGGGGGATTATGGTGTGGGGTTGTTTTTTTTATGGGTTGGGCTTGGCCCCTTAGTTCCAATGAAGTGAATTCTTAAGGTGTCAGCATACCAAAACATTTTGGACAATTTTTTGCTCCAAATTTTGTGGGAACAGTTTGGGGATGGCCCTTTCCTGTTCCAACTTGACTGCACACCAGTGAATAAAGCAAGGTTCATAAAGACATGGATGAGCGAGGTTGGGGTGGAGGATCTTAACTGGACTGCACAGTCCTGACCTCAACCTGAAAGAACACCTTTGGGATGAGTTAGAGCGGAGACTGTGAGCCAGGCCTTCTCGTCTGACATAAGTGCCTGATTTCACAAATGCGCTTCTGGAAGAATGGTCAAACATTTCCCATAGACACACTCCTAAACCTTGTGGACAGCCTTCCCAGAAGAGTTAAGGCTGTTATAGCTTCAGAGGGTGGGCCAACTCAGTATTGAGGCCTACGGACTAAGGCTGGGCTCCATTATAGTTTATGCGTGTAAAGATGGGCATCCCAATACATTTGGTAATATAATAGTGTACGTTGTGTAAGCATTTTTAGTGTTTTTTTTTTTTTTTTTTTTTAATGTAAAACACTCTTACACTGCTGGAAGCTGCCTCACGATTTCTTCTTTTGCATATCTGACCCTGAGGAAAAGTTGGAGTGGTGGAAATTTTAAAAAAACCTTGTGGAAAGACCCAGAGGTACAGTGCAGAGGAGGAAAATATATCTTAAGTGCATATTGACCCACTTATCAAAAATAAGGAGTCAAAGATGTTCGGTGAGTGAGGTGTTCAGAAGGGGAGCATGTGTGACCACCAAATGCTGTGTGAAAACACCATCATTGTTTCAGCACTTTATTGAAGCACTTTGTGGTATTTTAAATTGAAAACTTCAGAGAGACTTTATTTTGCACTTTATTGATATTGTTTGGTTATGAATTCACAGTTTATTGGTTTTGAATGCACAGAGACTTTATTTGCACTTTGATACCGATTACCTACGCATTTTCAATTTGTTTTAGTTTGAAGCCGCATATCGCTAATTTATGAGGAGGGAGATGTTTCTTAGAACATGGTTTTTTAGGTTAATGTATTATTGCACATGTATATGGAGATAGACATGTTTTTATACTTTTAAAGGAACATTTAAAAAGAAAACATATGTATAACCAAGTTTCGTTAAAAACTTTTTCTTATCAGTGCAGATAAGTTGGGGCTTCTATTCCATTCTATACAAGGGAGCAGGACACAATAAACGAGCTCACCTCCTTATCCTTCCTTAAGAGACCACTTTATTTCTTACTACTAAGAGAGGTAGGATATTGGGGGAGACTTTGGGTGTGTTGACAGTTTAATTTAGTGTAGTTGCAGCATTTTCACTGTTGAGCTCTCTTCATCTCCAGCTAATTGCTGCACTTTCTCACAAGCCACACTTGTACTGTTTTCCAAAGTTCGATTTCTGCTCTTCCAGATAGAAGAGGTTTGCTGTGTAAGAAACAGAGCAGACAGGCTTTAATTGCAGAAGACACATGCAGTGTATTTTCTGCAATTAATTGCCCCTACCTTCCTGCTCACTGTCTTCTTCAGAGCTGTAATCTGAAGTACGCATGCGCAGCTCAGCTTACAATGCTAGTCTGGTCTCTAAATGCCAGGAACACTAGATCATGTGCATGCGCAGAAGTGACATCATTCCACGTCAGCCAATGAAGAGGCCCAAAGTTTCGCACTTAGATGAAGATGCGAGGGATCGTTGCACAGGCAAGTATTGACTCTTTAACCACTTATTTAATAGTTAGTGGATAAAACCTCATATTGTGAAAAAATACAAACTTAGAGCCTTAATAATTAAAAGTGGTAGTGATGACCTATTTGCAGTAAAATAAGCCATTCATTGTACACTTATGAAGGGAATCTGTAAGGGCAGAAAAGTTACCTTTAGTTGTTTTGTTTTCAACAGTACAGACTTTGGGGCTGTCAATTTGAATGCCTAGCGGGTCACTGAATTGGAACAAGATTGTGAAATTTAGTTCAGACTTCACTATCTCCATACTTGTTTAGATGAGTGATTAATTAGCTGGTGAAGCCAGAAGCAAGAAGATGGCCTTGATGCCGCCTGCACCTTTAAAAGCATGCCAGCAGTGGAATCTGCTGTATATCCCACGTCACAGTTTCCTATGAGGAGCTGTTACCATTCTTATTATTTGGTGAAAGACTGTTCTTTAGCTCTGTTAATGGGTTGTCCCTTTCGTAAACAGTACTGAACAGTGCTCAACACGATGGCCACTTTTCCATGGCTACCTGTATTGTGTTCATAACCAAGTGTTTTTTTTTTCTCCTGTTTAGGACATAAAGAGATCCCCGCGGGGTCCTCCCTCGCCCGCTGTTAATGGAGAACAAGTGCAGGTTGGTTTTAATAGTATTGCTTGCATCTGCTGTAACAAGTCATCTAGCTTTGGTTATAGGTAAATTAACTGCTCAGAACTACATAGAAAATAAATGCATAGAGTAATCAATGATAATTTGTTTATATAAGAAGGACCATGGTGGACAGGAATCAACACGTTTCTAAACAGAGGAAACCGATACAGTGAAATTCAAGTTTTCAAACAGCAGAAGCAAACCTTTGTGTGGCGCTTCCCTTTTGCCTAATGGAATTTTGAAATATTTGACTGGTTTATGTAGACATTCACAATCACAGTTTGCACAAAAATGGTCAGACAAATAAAATCAACCTAATATGAAATCCCCTGGTTTGAAGTGCAATGCATGTCTGTTCCCGCTAATTGATCCTTTCTGCATGTTAATCCAAGATTTGTTGTAATTTTTCACTGCCGTTCTATAAGTTGTTTTTAAATTAATACCTATTTTTGTTTGTCTTTTAATTTCCTTTTACAACCTTGCAGCAGCCTTCTGAAAAAGAGGATGACATAATTCGCATGAGGAAGGTTAGCAGTGTTTGTTCAGCCTTATTTGTCACCTAGCTCCATACAAGGGAGATAGAAGCTACATTTTATGTGCTGTCCACTCACAAAAAAGCAAGGAGACCAAGTATATAGCAGATGCTTAAATACATACGTTTCTTTGTGCAGGTACTTTTACATTAGGTAGAGGAGTTTGTAGCCTCACCAACGGCTATACTTAACTATTTTTAAATGTAGTTTGGCACAAGTCATGTCACATTGCCGGAACTGATAGTATTGTTTGGCCTGGTGTGCCTTTTTGAACAGGTTCAGGGAGTTTGAACTTTTTTTCCAGCAATAACATGCAAACAAAGCAAATCTAGATTTTCCTGAGTGAATTGTCTATTGCAGATAATAAATGAGTCAAAATGTAGTTTGCTGTCTCCCTTTAACTTAGTTATTCTCAACAACTACAACAACTCCCATTCGCGTGCGTGTGTGTGGCTTTTTATACACTGCTTATACTGTACGTCATGATCATGACTAAGTAGAATATGTTCTCTTTGCGCTTGCTATTTATGTTCTTAGTGCTTACGAGAATGCAAAGAAAAACAGATGTGTAAAGTGCAACAATTCATTACATTTCATCTGTCATAGGTTAAGTGTCTGAACAGTGAAAGGTGTCTAATGGGTTTGCAGTGGCCAGTTGTACTGTTGAGATTTTTTTTATTAAAGAAGCAGATAAATATGGGGGGGTTTTTTGGGGGGGTTGCCTTTCAGCAGCTACGTTCTCAATATAATTTAATTCCAAATAATTTAGGATGTTTTTTAATTTGAGATAGAGTTGAGAAGTCTTGAAAACTTTTTTCTTTTTTTTTTAATGCTGTCTGTGTCTCCACCGAGGTGATTTCCACTTTTTTTGGGAGAGAGAAGAGAGGACATTAAAAGAGAGTAGTTATAAGCAGACAAAAGTTTAAAATCTTTCCCAATTCAGTTCAAAACTAAAGAGGGCTATAGTTGGTTAGCCACTACTCAGAGCTTCTTAACTTTACTGTGGGTAAGATTTATGACCATCATATATTTACCATGAATTATTGGAAGTTGATATGTCGGATTCGTCAAAAGTTACATGTGACCACAATATTTTTTTTACATCATATTTTTTTGTATTTATTTTTTATTTAAATGTATTTTTTTTTTTACATCTTTTCTTTGAACATTTTTTAAATTTATCTTTATTGGTATCAGAAGGGATGAACAACATCCCTTGTGATAGCTGGGGCAGTGACAGATATTTCTTTTTGAGAGATCAGAAGTCTAATAGACCCCTGATCCCTCCTCTGCTCTCCAAGGCAGCTGATCAAACACAGATCAGTTTGATCGGCTATCTTACTGGCCTGCAATGGCCAGTAAATGACAAACTAAAACCATAAGTGACGAAATCCTTGTTGATTCGGTGATCTTTCATCACAGAGGAGGGTCTGTAACAGATGTTCCTCCTCCTCTGTACCGAGCTGATCTGACCATTTGCAGCTGTTCTGGGGTCTCCAGAACCCTGTAAAAGTGATCAGGCAGCTGTAAAGCCACGAGTCACTTTTGCTTAAAAGCCAGTTGCTGGCTAAAAAAATTGATACCAGCATCATGGCATGGCTACAGCAAAGTAACTACATGTCAAATCAGTAATACAATACGAGAATCATAGTGATGCATCCACAAGTTAATTCAGTGACCATTAAAACAAATCGTGCAGCTACATGTGCGTATAACCTTAGACTTTAGTCTAAAAGATTTGCGCCTTCCTGTTTAACTCACTATTGAAACCTATTAAAGCAGCTCACTCACAGCTTTTTTTAACTTTGTTTTAAAGTGGATTAAAAACTAGAAGATTGTCATGTTATAATGCACATCTGACAGTGTTAATTGTGCCAAAGCAATACCCTGAAAATGTGCCTGTTTGTCTTGTATTACCCTGTAAAATAACAGTGCACTTCCTTGTATGTGAGTGTGCCTACAACCTCATAACTGCTAATCTGTAGTGTGAAGTTTAAGATACTTCTACATCTTAATGCTACTCTTTAGGGATTTAGAGAGAATTTTAGAGATTTAGAGAGGGGATTTAGAGATATTACTATTGTGTTGTTTACTGTTCTCCTCGCTGGAGGCTCTGACATAAGGTAGAAAAACCCTGCCGCTATCAAGTTGGCAGTCTCTACACAGAGATACAGTGGAGAACAAGGCATGGTAAGTCAGTAACATAGGAAAGATCAGCTCCTTTGTCTTCTGCCTGCCATTTTTTGGGCACATCTTCCAGAGTTTTGTCCCTCTTTAAATAATTCAGCCTTTTTGATTATTGACCTAGCACTAATTGAAACACACAAATTATTTTTTCCTTGTGCCCTTGTTGCTACTTGACTAAAAATATAATATATGAGCACTTTTAGAATGACATTTAACAACTTTCCTGGGAAGAACATCTGTAAGACAGGACATTAGCAGCTATTCCTCCAGGCAGTTAGTTTAGTGTTCAGAGGTAGACAGACATTTTACAGATGATAGGCTTTACTTTTTTTGGGGACACAGAAAGTATGACACAGAAAGTACCTCTTATCTATTTACTTTTCTCAACTATTCGTCATTGTCTGTTTTCCATTCATACGGAATTTTTACTTTTTCACTTTGCAGAAAAGAGCAAAGAAACTAGAGGGGGAAAACATTTATATCAGACATAGCAATTTAATGTTGGAGGTTGGTATAAATTCTTGCAGTCTGTAACCCCGTACTGTCTGGACTTTGATGTCTTTATTTTTTGTTCTGTTTTCTAGTGTATATGTACCTGCAGATATACTGCAGGCACTGTCTGCATGTTAATTTTTTGCATGCATGCTTCTTTTTTACTGTAAAATGTTGTATGTTCTCTAACGTATTTAACACGTGTTTATGTCTGGAGACCTTGCTGCTTGTATCACTGGATTAAGCTTACAGGGATATTATCTTTGTGATGTGAAACTTTTCTGGTCTTGCTTTGCGTGTTACATTTTTGTGCTTATACAAGTGATAACCAAGTTCAGTGTGTGTGCTTCTGCCATTTGAAATTGTGATTTTAATTAAGCCATTGAAACTCAAATATGTCAAAACAATGTGATGCAACTTTAACAGTGCTGCAACGCCTTTAAACTGCTTTTGTCTTTTAACTTTTAAATATTAGATAAAGCCTGTGTGGTCAAACATGTTGAATTAGTCATCATAGACCTATTCACATTCTGCCTTAGTTAGGTGAACGGGTAACAGAAGCTTCAAGCAGGGCACTAATTCTTGCAAAAGCGCTAGTCCTTCAGGCTAGTGCTAGTGTTGTCAGATAGCCACTTGTATACTGTTCCTAAAATAAGTCAGGTGAGATTTTTTTCTTGAAAGCCCTATGCAATACAAAGGAGATGCCCACTTTCCAGCATGTAAACGATTATATAGAAACGTTTTTTGTTTGTTTTGTTTTTTTTTTTAACTCCAACTGCAAGATACAAACTGGTTCTGTATAACTATTTTTGCTGCATCTCTGGTGTAATATTGGGAAGTGCAATTTATATTTTTAAAATGGGAGCTAGTTTTACAACAGTGTTTAATACATTTTTGTCTTTTTTATTCAAATGGAACCATTACGAAGCGTTATGAAAAGCATATGCTTTCTTGGTGTTTGAAATTGACTGATTAGTCATTTTTTTACATCAAATAGGACTTAAGAGTTTACCATGGGCATTTCCAAATCTAGTTCTGCTTCTGCTATGGGCAGATATTAGTAGCCATGACTGCATTGTGTTCTTTGTTAAATTCCTTGAATATTAGCAAAAATGTATGGCAATTTCTTGCCAATTTGACCTTTAGTGAATTTGAATAATCAAACTTTGTCCCTAATCCATTCAATATTCTGGTAGAGAAAGGCCTTGTGCTGACCTCTTAATTAGTTACAGCACCTGTACAAAAGCCTGATTTTTTTTTTTTTTAAGTGTGTTATATACATACAGTCTTCGTTTTCACATTTAACTATTTTCTGAACTGTATGTGTTAAAGGGTCTAATATGACCATCCATTATCCATCTGGTTGGATGTGAGCATTTTCCTTAAAATCAGGTTTAATTGTCTTGCCACTAAACAACATGTTACAGGCTACAAGCTTTGGCTACATTGTGCTGTGTCCTGAGGATATCAGCTTCTATCTCCCCAACTGCTTACCATTCTTCTTTTCTTTACTTTCCTTGTTTTTCTTTCTTACTCTTTACTCTTTCTATCTCCTCTTCACTTGTAAATTCTTCCATCATCTTACTCTACTGCTCTTCCAACTGTCCACCTTTCCAAAAACTTCTCAGGATTTAGAGACTCGGACTCAGGAGGAGATCATTAAGCACCATGCCAGTATTCGTGAGCTGAAGAAAAGTTTCATGGAGTCAGTACCTGCGCCACGACCCAGCGAGTGGGATAAACGCCTTTCTACCCACTCTCCCTTCCGTACTCTCAGTTTCAATGGACAGGTCCAAACTGGCACTGATGGGGTAAGTTTGAAAATCACCATAAAACACATCTGAAGTTTAAGGAGCTATTAAAGTGAATCATTAAATGTAGTTGTAGTGGTTTTTTATTTATTTATTTTTAAATCCTGCAGATTTATACATATACAGTGGGGATCGAAAGTTTGGGCACCCCAGCTAAAAATTTGTATTAATGTGCATAAAGAAGCCAAGGAAAGATGGAAAAATCTCCAAAAGGCATCAAATTACAGATTAGACATTCTTATAATATGTCAACAAAAGTTAGATTTTATTTCCATCCTTTACACTTTCAAAATAACAGAAAACAAAGAAATGGCATCATCAAAAGTTTGGGCACCCTGCAGAATTTATAGCATGCATTGCCCCCTTTGCCAAGCTGAGGCCTGCCAGTGTCATGGATTGTTCTCAATCATCGTCTGGGAAGACCAGGTTATGTCAATCTCAAAGGTTTTAAATGCCCAGACTCATCTGACCTTGCCCCAACAATCAGCACCATGGGTTCTTCTAAGCAGTTGTCTAGAAAACTGAAACTGAAAATAGTTGACGCTCACAAAGCTGGAGAAGGCTATAAGAAGATAGCAAAGCGTTTTCAGATGTCAATATCCTCTGTTCGGAATTTAATTAAGAAATGGCAGTCATCAGGAACAGTGGAAGTTAAAGCAAGATCTGGAAGACCAAGAAAAATATCAGACAGAACAGCACGCAGGATTGTGAGAAAAACAATTCAAAACCCACGTTTGACTGCATGATCCCTCCGGAAAGATCTGGCAGACACTGGAGTTGTGGTACACTATTCCACTATAAAGAGTTACTTGTACAAATATGGTCTTCATGGAAGAGTCATCAGAAGAAAACCTCTTCTACGTCCTCACCACAAAAATCATCGTTTGAACTTTGCAAATGAACATATAGACAAGCCTGATGCATTTTGGAAACAAGTTCTGTGGACCGATGAGGTTAAGATTGAACTTTTTGGCCGGAATGAGCAAAGGTACGTTTGGAGAAGAAAGGGCACAGAATTTAATGAAAAGAACCTCTGTCCAACTGTTAAGCATGGGGTTGGATCAATCATGCTTTGGGTTTGTGTTCCAGCCAGTGGCACAGAGAACATCTCACGAATAGAAGGAAAAATGGATTCAATAAAATTTCAGCAAATTTTGGATGGTAACTTGATGCCATCTGTGAAAAAGCTGAAGTTAAAGAGAGGATGGCTTCTACAAATGGATAATGATCCTAAACACACCTCGAAATCCACGGGGGATTACATCAAGAGGCGTAAACTGAAGGTTTTGCCATGGCCTTCACAATCTCCTGACCTCAACATAATTGAAAATCTATGGATAGACCTTAAAAGAGCAGTGCGTGACAGACAGCCAGAAATCTCGAAGAACTGGAAGACTTTTGTAAGGAAGAATGGGCAAAGATACATCAAACAAGAATTGAAAGACTCTTGGCTGGCTACAAAAAGCGTTTACAAGCTGTGATACTTGCCAAAGGGGGCAGTACAAGATATTAACTCTGCAGGGTGCCCAAACATTTGCAGACGCCATTTTTTTGTTTTCTGTTATTTTGAAAGTATAAATGATGGAAATAAAATCTAACTTTTGTTGACATATTATAAGAATGTCTAATCTGTAATTGGATGCCTTTTGGAGATTTTTCCATCTTTCCTTGGCTTCTTTATGCACATTAATACAAAATTTAAGCTGGGGTGCCCAAACTTTTGATCCCCACTGTGTATATATATATATATATATATATATATATATATACATATATATACACATACTTTGCAGAACATTTTTGAAACTGAAGAAAGTTTAAAATTATACCTATATGTCTGTGTGAATATGTTTATGTGTGCATCATAAGGGGGTAAAATACACCTAATTTTATATACTAATATTCCAATCTTACTAGGGAGTAAGGCTACTTTTGCCTTCAGATTCGCTTCAGAGAAACCTCCAGGTTTTTTAAAGTCAATGAAGCAGGTGGAAATTAGTTTTATTTTGTGATCCAGATTTGACTTTAGGTAACTGCTGCTTTTTTTTTGTAGGCAGTGTGCACAAATGCTTATTCATCCTTGGATGTTGATCCATTGCTCGGGAACAGTGTTTGTACCATAGTATACAAATGGCCCTTTAGAATGGCCTCATTGCTTTGCCATTATGCACCTAGGCAGTGTAATTAGACCTAATGAGAAATCATCAGAGCCAAATACTGTATACTGTAGCTGCTCACAGGATCATGGACCCCTTTTCAAACTTTAGCATTTTGCCACATATATTGCCTATTGAAGGCATCCTTTGGTGTTTTCTATATGTAATGACATCAGGATATAAGGAAGAAAAGGAAAGTGGACTCATAAATTTGTATTATTTACTCAGGATTTTAGGTTTTGTTGGTTTACACTAACGTATTAGTCTGTGTATGTTGGCCTTGCTTACAAGCCGTGTCTGGATGACAGTCCTACCATAGAGGCTAACTTTATGAAGCTTACAACATACAGTCTTTGTGTAAACTGAGTTGCAGATGTGTCGAGTCAGTTTTGTGGTAAGTGTGGAGCATGTTCTTTTGTGTCGGATGTCAGCTATCCTCTTAAAGTCTAACAATTTCTATTGGTAAGTGTCTGCTTGTAAGAGCTGGTAACTCTTTCCACTGCAGTTCATCTATTTTTGGAAATGATTACTTGTAAGTCCATTCCCCTTGACTTTTAAATAATATCGCAGTTTTTGGAGATTTACACTTGCTGTTATGACATAAAATATTTGACCTTATTTGGAACACTGTTAGTTGCATCATATTGCTTTGAAATCTCATATCTCAAGATACTGGAACAGTAGGCTAATCTACAATCAGTCTTATATGATTCACGTTTGGAACTCTGTAATTGTGGTTTAGTTACTTTAAATGTAACTCTTGTTTATTTTATTTTGTCCTCCCTGTGTGTCTGTTTGAAGATAGATAAATGTATATTTCTCCCTTTTGAAAAGGAAGAATTTCTGTTCTACTGCAAACAGTTCTTCCGAAACACTGGCTGTGCCTAAGGCTTGATTTACTTGTGTGTATTGAAGCATTCTTCTATAATAAGATTAAGCTAAACACCAGGCTAGCTGTTAAATATATAGCTGAGATGTTTGTGTGTGAACTGTTGTACCTGTACAAGAATTTTGTAAGTGTGAGTTGAGTTCAGAGAACCCTTCAAGATAACACAATGAGGTCCTGACCCTCTGACCTTAGATTATACTGCAGTTAAGCAATACAGCATTGTTCCAAACCTGACACTGCTGATGGCTACTCAGTGAAGGATGAGCAACCAACTTATAATAAACCAAAAAGCAATTCCCTGTGCTTAGTGTACAAATTAAAGAGATGAGTCAACACAGATATAGTGAAATACTGGATATCAAAACTTTCTTCTCACTAAATAGGTGCACTTTCACTTGAAGATGTATTCATACTAATTTTGATACAACACTGTATTAATAAAATTGGAGCAAAAATATGAAAACAGTTAAGAATAAAAACAATCCAAGATCAATAAAAACTCTGTACTGTATATGTGAAATAGAGTGCAAAAAGTTGACAATATCGAAATATGAATCAATCTGAATAAGTGATTTCCAAGTGAATAACACCAGTGCTTGCGGACTCCTTACCAGATGGAAATATTTCAATAAACAGAGATCAATTGCACTTTGTGGGGATACAGCCACAATATCCCCAACAGCAGTTTAGGTTTGATATGGGTCCAGATAGATGGAAAGACCGCAACATATAGAGATTAAATGTGCCTTTTGGTGACACAGCTGCTCAGTTCTGCTATGGCTTCACTCATATGGTATATGAGGTAAAGCCAGAACAAAAGGGGCAAACTCGTAGTGCAGCAAATCCTAAAAAAGTACTGCAGTAATCCACTCACATGAGGTAAATGTCAAAATCGCAATATACAATAACCAAGATGATATTACAATCGTAGACTCCAACCAATGTGTTTTCACTACACGGTCCCATTCTCCTCTTTTTCCCCACTTTCTATATGTATCACCATGGAAGGGGTTAACACTGCGGGGTTGAACACTTATATCAGATTCTGGATGGACAATCCTGTGCTCATTCCATTCTTTCAGCAGGAAGAACTTTCCCACTGCTGCTTCAGTTTCAAGAGCCATGTGGATTGCTTACTGCACAGTAACCTGGTCTCCTTCACCTGCCTTACTCTACACCTACTTCCCAGCAGTTGAGTTCAAGAGTACCTGAGGCCTTGCCTTGTGTTTTGCATTGTGTACTACTGCTATATTGCCTCTGCCTTGTAGTACAATATGTCCGATCCTAGACACATGGGGAACATGCCCACTGTATTTTGTTCCTCCAGCTCACATTTAGTTCCAGTGCTGCCTGCAGTATGCCTTTGGAGGGTCCTGACACTGATGGCCTGGAATATTGCCCCTATAGTCTATATTGGAAGTCGGCAACCAGTAGATCGGCCAGATGACTGGTAGATCACAGTCAGGGCTTGCTGATCTGCCATCCCAGAGCATCAAACAGAGTGCAATGCAGAGGGACTACTTGTAAAATTGGATCAGTAGTAGGGAGCAAGAGCCGCATCAGCCAATGCCTCCTCTTCAGTGCCAGCTCCTACGCCTTGTCGTGGTTGCCAAGCATGAACCATCAAGTTAATGATACCGCTCTTCGGGTGCCCTACAGTACAGCAAACAAGGTGTTAAAGCAGGCAGCATTAATGTTGCTTTCTCCCCACCTATTATATCATGGAAGTTGTTACATGTTCCACCATAAATATAGGTGGAACATGTAACATGTTCCTAAGGTGAACTTATCTTTTAGCTTCATGGGGTGTGGCCACCTCTTCTGCTCTATCCAGGGATTTTTATATTGTAGTTATGCAGGATTTTATGGGCTTAATAGCACTGTTTCCTAACTCTGGCCGCAAAGGCTTTAATCAAGCTCCAGTGCTTTCCCCTGCAGATCTGCCTGTAACACCT